TTCGAATCATTAAATTTTGTGCTTCGACCAGTCACTCGTCCATGATCTTTTGTGTGTTTTTTATTGCCTTTTTTTCTCCAAATGGCCGGTTGATCCATTAATTTTCGTGAGGTTCGAGTTGAACCATTGGCCGTATTCTGTTGATAATCGGAGCTTGGTAATTGTCTTTTTCCTTTAATAACAATCGTTGTCATTGTGGCTTATGCTGAAATGAGCAATGCGACTTTTGTTAAAAAGCAAAAGTGTCAATGGAAATATGGATTATTTAAAGACAACTATGAACTTTAGCAGCCTTAATTTAATGCCGTGTCCTGTTCTTTTTGCTAGCAACAACCAATGCAAATTGTTATATATGTAAAGTTGGGCAGATAATAAAAAATCCAATAGAATAAGAAATGATTAGTGATATTTATTTGGCAAGTCGAAAATAAGTTGTAAGAAATAGATAAAAATCGAAGATTTGTTCGTTGTTGCATATATATGATATTATTGTATTGTATTGTATTTTGAAAATTTGAATTCATCGGAGATTTATAAGTAAGACAGGTAGGCGATTATTCCTTCTTTTGGTGGTTAGTTTAATTATGACGAAAGTTTCCAGAATTAATTTTAATATATTTTTCAGTAACCTAATTAATAAAGCTGCAGAAAAGAACTTCCATTCAGCACTAGAAAAAAATACGCTTCTTTTTTTTTTTAAAGAAAATAAACTAAAATTGGTCGAGAAATCATTGATATTCTTGGATGACATAATACATCCATACCTATTGACTGCTTCGGTATGCATTCGAGTTAAAATCCCCCTGTATTTTCATGAGAGCTATGACGAGAATAGCAAGCTCAAATAGCCAATAATGACATGATAATTCGGGTATCCATTCGACTCGGTATATAACGAACCGACGGTTCTATTAAAAAAAAGTTTATAGGGTTGACTGTATGCTGATTCCTTTTTTTAGAAATTATGATTTTATTTTTACAATTCATGCATCTATTTATTTATTATTACAGCACTATTATGAATTTATCTAATCATTATGCATAGATGTTAAAGTATACCGGGATTACCAATACTATTTTCAGAATTCAATGAAAATTTGGATCTTGGTTCCTTAGGCCATATAGAAAGTTTTAACGGCTCTTTAGAAAGTGAAACGGTGTTAGCCGAATCATATAGTCCAACAACAACTATGCTATTACTTTGTCTAATATTAGCCTGACACACGATGTATCGGTCAAGATCAGGGAGATCAGGGTCAAAATATCTAACAATCTCAACAAGAATATTACATGCGTCGGTCCAAGGCAGTTGAGATATTTCTACATGTGTTCGCAATTGATACTGAAAAGGTCTTGTTATCATGAAATGAGATGAAGGTGGCCAAAAATGGTGTACTTTTTTATCAGGCATCGTGACTTGTATTCCTATTGATCTGGTATCCGTGATATTGGAAATTTCCGCTTCAATAAATACTCGTAGTGGAAATCCCGCGACAAACACTTTATTTGAAGTTGTCTGCTTGATTAACTTCGCTTCGCATCTTTTCATCATATTTCGAAGATCAATATCGTAAAGTGTGAAATTCTCCACGTAATCAAAAATTGGGATAATATCCGAGGTGGTCAAACTGTCTTCAAGTATATTTTTTTGTAATAATTTATTAAGATCAACGAGACTTTTATAGAAAAAATCTTCATTTTGAAATTTGTCTTGAACAATTTGAACTCGACGATTAAGTAATTGGATTAGATTCTTGATGGTAGGCGGTGAAGAATCATGAAGGTAAGTTGGTTTTGAAACTCCAATTATCCATATAATGTTTGCGATAATACGAAGATTCATTGTGAAATGGCGAGCTCTGTCTGTGACGCCGAGGAAATTGTTTTCCATCGCATATGATAATATTATCAGATTTGCTGCAAGATTTGCTGCCTTATCAGAAAAGTAGTTTCGATGAAAATTCTTTTTGATCTCAATTATTGTTTGTAGACATTCAAGATACAGGATTGCAAATTCTGCTTTTCCAGATAGTGATGAAATTGTTCGTGCTATATATATCAAATCCTTTGAGCAAACACCCACAATCGATAATGCACCCTTCCAATTATTAGCCTTCATCAGAAAACTGAGATTTACGAAAGCGCCCAAAGTTTGTTCTATAAATCCATGCAAGTCGAGTTTATCTTTTTCAAGCATATCGACCGTATTTTCTTCAGTTGAGTCCAACATTTCAGCTTTTTCCCCCATGAAGACAGAATCCAATATTTCACCTTCTTCAACGCCATCCATTGCTAGTGATTGATTTGCATCATTCTTCTGAAGAACTTTATCGGGAAAGCAATCTGGAAATTTTTCTCGAAGAAAGACAAATTGTCTAAACGAATAGTCTGGCAATTTCTTTGCTATTTTCTCATTCTTAAGCAAGGCGTTAAATGATATAATCAAATGCCCAATGTGCTGGGGAGATTCGAGGTAAATCTCTTTCGGTTTTATGTAGGGTTCCAAATTAAAAAATCTCGGAATAAATTTTTCGATATATTTCCAATTGATTCTTGCAAATTGAACAAAACAACGGAAGATAGACAATTGATCATCAGGATATCTATCCATATTTTTCATCAGGACTTCTATAAATTTAGCGGCAGATTCGGAATTCAAGAGTTTGGTGACACTCAGCATTCCACGAGTTGCTTCCCGAATTTTTGAATTGGAGTCTCCTAAAACATCAAGAGTATTCTGCAATTGTTCATAATCTAGAATAATTTTTGTGTACGTTCCGATTTTCTGAAGACTATTTATGGCGTTTAAACGAACAGAATCGATTTCATCGTGAAACATGTCAACAAGAAAATCTTTAGCGCGTTCAGCAAACTTTGTACTATACATACATAATTTACATATAGAGTCGATAGAAGCATTTCTTACTTCTTGATATTCATCCTCTAAACCACGAATAAAAGCTCCACATGCTCCAGAATCAAGTAATCGAAATTCATCTGATTCCACATCAAAATCTCCTTCGGGTTTTGGTAATTGCCTTTGTTTCTTGTTTTTACTGCCACCACCGCCCGATTTAATTGGATTTTTACGCTTCAAATGAGACATTACCTCTTTACTAAATGTTTGCAAAAGAATTATTTCACTAACATCACGGCAGCTACCCAAGATTGCGCAAGCTTTACTTCTAATTTTCACCGAGCCATCACTAATCATATCACAAATTTTGATAAAAGCATCGTCCACTAATGAAATACTTTCTTTAGACCCGTTGCTGAGTGGAATTTTTTCATTAGGATATAGACCACTTAATACCCAAACTAGACTCAATGCCGCAGATCGAACTTGTTCATAATCATCCTTCAAGCAATTAATTGACAGTTGATACCATTTTAGATCGAGGATAGATCTCCGATGATGTAGCTCAACAAGCATCGTCAAAGCAGTGTGACGAACTCTAGGGTCCGGATCACATACAAAGTTATGAATGATTGTTTGAATTTGGTCGCCATTCAAAAATTCCGAGATTGTGGGATCAGACAAATTCTTGCTATTAAAATCTTGTTTAATACGTGTAATGATTGGTGATAAGGTAGCCAACAATCGAAGTGAGATGGCTCTTATGCGATGATGTGAGCATGATAATTCTTCAATGGCGAGAATAGAAAGTTGATTAATGGTGTTCAGAAAGGAATTTGAACCGAACTGCTGTTGTTCTAATTGTTTAATCTTTAGAATCGCCATTATCGAATTAAATATTTGACATTTTAATTTTGTTGAATCTGTTTCTACTTGACTCAGCAACGTGCTAATAATCAATCGACAATCATGAGCAGAATCGAGCGCTAATTTTTCAAACAGCATTACTATAAGACATTTAGCATCTTTGTCTTTTTCAGCAGCTAATTGTCTTGTAAGAATGTTGAATAGATTAACCCTCTCATGTTGACTCAAGTTTGGAAATGCATTAATTAGAATTTTAAGAGCACGAGTTCTCTCTCGTAAATTCGCAGACTCTAACTTATCAAAATCCGGTTCTTCCTTTAATGTGCTCTGTTTGAGATCAAGAACTGTTTCAAACGCTTCTGAAAAATCATCCTCGGTTTCAATTTTTTCAATAGTCTCCTTTCTTTGACTTGTGAAAGAAAAAGAACGCTTCATTTTTTTCTCCTCATAACGATAACATGAATTTAAAATTTCATTTCTGTAACACATCAACCAATAAGATTTTTCCTTTGCTGATTGGATCGCCATTTTTCTTTCGAAATTTTTTTCTTTTGAGCTAATGAAAGATTTTTTCTTTTCCATATTTGGAAGAATGCTGCAGCAGAAATGAATGCGTATCTCAATAAAAACCAGAAAATTAAAACTGTATTTGATGCCTCACCAAAAGGCTTGAGACTTTTCTATTCGTACGAATTGTAGTTGTGCTTTTTGTGTTTAGTTGCTTTGCATATGCTTAGTCGTTCCTCAAACAGCATTCATTATTTAATATAGTTGGTCGTCAAGTTTAATATAAATATATCTCCCTTTTGTGAGCTTTAAATGTCTCAAAAGACATCTAATATGCCTTCGCAAAGTCCCCAACAGCAACCTCTACCTCTACGTATTCTTGCAGTGGGCTCCGCCTATGAAGACACTATTCTATATGTTGACAAGTTTCCACCCGAAGACGGAAAACAACGCGCACAACGAGTGGAAAAGCGGCGTGGTGGAAATTCTGGAAATACCTTGACTGTGCTATCGCAGTTTCCATCGAGTCAACCTTACTTTATGGCTTCTATGGCGTCCAAAGAAGCATCCACGTGAGCAATTTGTTATCATAATGAAAATTCTTAATACTCAGAAATTAACATAATCGAATTATTAGTTTTTTGGTGCAAGATTTTGAGGCACATAACATTAAGACTTCGACTTGTCTTTTTCGTGCTAATGCCTCTCACGCACCAGTAGCATATATAATTCATGCAGAGAATACTAGTTCAAGAACAATAATAAACTATAATAGGTGAAGAAAAACGCATTTTGATCGACTATACTCCATTTTACCTTTGAAGACCTTAAATTTACCTTTTTTATGATGTATGTAGTATCGATGAACTTACATTCGAAGAATTCAAAGGGAAGTTTGAGGAAGCATGTGCTGAGCTTGTAACTGATGACTTGAATCAAGCAGTACCTTTCAGTTGGATACATTTCGAGGGACGTAATACAGAAGAAGTGGCCAAAATGATGGATTATATTGACACTAAAGAATGGCGAGATCGATGTATTATGAGCGTGGAATTGGAGAAACCACATCGAAAGGGACTTGAAGATTTAATGCATCGGGCAGATGTAGTTTTCTTTTCGAAAGTGTTTGCTGAAGGAAAAGGTTACGATCATGCTGGTGATTTTCTTCAAGTTATGGGTCCATATTGTAAAAAGACGTGAGTATTGATATTCTTCTTATGCATAATAACTATAAAATAAATAAATTAATAATTTAGTTATCCATTCGTAGTGCATACTTATTTTGTACATGGGGTAATTCTGGTGCATCATGTTTTCATAACCCAACCCAAAAACTTTTCATTGCTCCCGCATTACCAATCCCAAGCGTAGTTGATTCTGTTGGTGCTGGCGACACATTTATCGCTGGTGTGATATATGGATTAACACAAGGGATGCCGCCAGAAAGATGCTTAAAATTTGCTTGCGAGTTGGCCGGGCGTAAATGTGCTCAGGTTGGATTTGAAAAAGTTATTGAGAAGATGAGTCAATTTAATTTGTGACTACATGGATGGGAAAAACTGCAGCAACCGTTACAATTACAACATCGAAGACGAACAGCGAACTTGAAACATAAATGTACAGAATTTGAACCGGAAGAATTGATCGATATAAAAGAGCGAGAAAGATTGCATCATGAGCTGAGACGTAGAGAAGAGCAACAAGTGGAGGAAGAAAAACAACAACGTTACAAGTTTATTATGCAACAACATCAAAGACAACAACAGCTAGAAGGCCGCACGCAGAGCAAGGGAAAGAAACGATTATTTTCGATGTGGCGGCCATTAAAACGAGAGCGCGAAATGTTTGATAAAATTGATATTAAACCTTCATGGAAACGACTTGCTAAAAAAAGTTCAATATTTGTTCTCTTTGATAAAGTGATGAGATGCAAAGACAAGGATTCACAGCCTTATAGTGATTATGAAAGTCATGAATATGTTAATAATCATTATTTTTCATATCAAGAGGCGCTGATAAAAGATGAAGATGAAAAGGAAGGAAAAGACTACAATGAAGATGATTGTGACGATGACGACGACGACGATGATGATGATGATGATGATGATGATGATGATGATGATGATTATGAAGACGATGATGACTATGAAGACGATGATGACGATGATGACTATGATGACTATGAAGATGATGATAGTAGTACATCTGAATATGAAGACGACGAACATGAAGAATTTATTGATCATGAATGTTATCAAGAAAATTCTAATGGAATAGAAATAGATTGTAATAATTATGATGACGCTGAGGATGATAAAAAATGTGTTAACGGCGGTGAAAGTGAGAATGGTGTTGGGCTTGATTTTTTGGACTTTACTCAATGTCAAAATGATAATAGTGTATATGATGGAGGTGGAAGTCCCACCGATTATCATAGTTTCTATCAATATCACATAAATCACGGACTATTTAAAAACATCATAATAAATACTAGCAGCGTAAATGATGGAATTCCTGATTTGATTTTTTCCACGAAAACTAGTCGTGCTGATAAAAGAAAAGGATTCTTATTACCTTCATCATTTTCTAATAGCGGAATTAATTGAACATTTCTAAACATGTTTTTGTATACTTTTTCCTTAAACTAGTTAATTATTAATAATACTGTAATTTCTTGATAGATATATATATAACATAATACATTATAACATATTTGTAAATTAATTATAAACATTATTCCTATTTTTTGCGATTCTTAATTATTGTTTATGTAAAATAAATCAACAAATAATTCAAATTATTAATTTATACAGAAAAAATCTAACTGAATTTTAAATCTAAAGATATTAATGAAAGTAAGTTAATAAAAATCAAGTAAATTAATAAAATCATAAGTTTGAAATAGAGTTTTATCTTGATATTAATTGGTAAAATATTTATTAAAAATTAATACCAAAATTCTTTATTAAAGAAATTATAATAATAGAAAAATAGATAGTAAAGAAAAAATAATAATTAATCTAATACTTATTATTTAAAATTCAACTAAATAAAAAGTTTTACAAAATTAATCAAAGTAATTATTAAAAAGAAAAGAAAATCTTTAAATAATATATATAATTATATTATAATTAGCAAACTTATAAGATCAAAATTATAAAATTTATAATAATTAAATAATAATACTAATATTAATAATAAAATTATTATAAAAATATTAGAAATAATTAACTAATTTTATAATAAAAATAAATTGAAGAAATTTTATATAAATATAAATCAGTATAAAAAGATTTATTTCATTAATAAATTATTTTTTAAAATTAAATTTTAATTTTATTTTATTGTAAATATCATAATTATCTTTTTTATACAGTTTCTAACAAAAAGAATAGTGATGAATATTTTTGTCTATGTTTTAATAATGAAACATTCAAAACTCATAAAAATTTATAAATACAATATGTAATAAAAAAAACTAAATATTTTAATTTTCTTCATAAATATTCATATAAATAATATAAAAATTTAAATATATATACTTGAGAATATAATAAATAATTTTATTTAAGACTATTTGAATACTTATCTTATTAAAATTTTTTATAATTTATATTTTTAAAATTTTTAATAATAAGAAAACTTAAATAAATTATTATAAATAAATTTGATTATTATTTTACAAATTAATCTT